TGCTGGCGCGCCATCAAGGAGAGTAGTGGGGAAGTGGGGGAGGAAGCGGAGAAGGGGAAGTGTAGGGTGGCAGAGAAGGGAAGAGGGGAATGTAGGGAGGGAGGGAAGGATGATTGTCATTCGTGACGTGTGAGATGAGCTGGCTTGACACTCGCCTCCACTTGACAAAAGTGATGGCCGGGCGTTGAGGGCATTGGGATGGTGGCACTTCACTGCCCTCTGGGCAGTCTCGCTGTCTGTGTGGTGCTATCCGGCTATGCCCGCCCACTCACTCCTTACATCACTTACAGCAGGCTCAGCCCGATTCCCTGCTACTGACCAGACAGACGGACTCTTTCATGGCAGGCCAGTAGGTAAGGAGAGGTGGTGAATTTTGGCTCATCCTTGTTAAATCTGTTAAAAGTGTGCGAAGGTGGGCGCACTCATGTTGGTGGTTGAGTATGCTTTTGCAGTTTTTTCGGCTGTGCTGAAGTTGTTGTGATCTGCAATGCAATTGCTGAAGGTAGAGTCGGTTTGGATGACCTCTGTTGCCGCATTTTTCGCAAGCGCTGTCGTTTTAGTCGCTCACTCATTTGCTTACCCAAATGCTCATGCGCGATTCTGAAGTTTTCACTTGCCACCATCGTTATTTTAGCTTGGCTCCAAGTAAAAGCTTGGATTGGTGTTGTGGCATTTGTTCGGTTAATGTCTGCAAGTTGCCCAACAGTTGAGTGTATGTGATTGGCTTTGTAGATGTCAACAGTCTACGCTGCTTAATGCACTGTACACGTGAGGACTTATTTGATGTTGGCATAAGGATTGTCACGGCGACACATCTGCGTTTCCCTCTAACCAGCTATGGGGAAGCCTGAGAGGAGTTGGAGGGCGATCGTGGACAGGGGTAAGGGGCAGAGTGCTCACCTAGTGGCTGAAATGGGGAGCTTCGAGAAGGTGACTCCAGCTGGCCAGGACAGCAAAGGAATCAAGGAGCACTCTGAAGGCAGTCACGGAAGAGTATTTGCTGTTTTAATCAAAGCAGTTGTGGCGATGTGGACGAAGTTTGAATGAAATGTGTTTCGCTCGCTCGATAGACGTTATTGTAACCTTCTTCTTATCGTAGTCTAGGGAGGGAACGAAGGGAATGTGTATCCGAAGGGTCATACATGAGGCGGATTGTGCTTGAAGCAGGAAGATGTCAAGGAGGGAGGAGGATGCTAAGCACGCTTTTCGGCACCCTACCACGCATGACCTTCTTCTTCATGGCCATGAAGTGAGTATTGCTGCATTCGTGGAGGAGGTAGACCACTTCACCAGCCTTGGGTGGAGCACATTGAATGAAGTGTTGTGAGACTTGAGGAGGCACGTGTCATTAAAAGGAGTTGATTGAAAGGATGCTTACGACAACGGAGAGGTCCTCATCACTGGGCCCGTCAAAGTTCTCAATGACCTGATCTCGTGGCCGATGCTGCAACTGTTCTGCCTGGTCGATGGGAGAGCTGATGAGACGTGCGTACAAACTGGACACAACCACAAATTGGCCCGATCACGTTTCGCAGTGGAGATATTCGTCCGCAGGAAGGGTGGGTGGCTCACTTTCTGGGCACGTGTGATCAAAATCCAGCCACCGCACAATGTCCGCATTCTGCCATGAAGCACAAATAAGTGGAAGGCTTCAACACATGCAGTCCAACACAATCACCAGACTAAAGGGCAGCAAGCATGTGCTTACCTTAAAACTCAGTGACTGCGCCTCCTGTGCCACCGGAATGTTCTCGATTACCAACCACACAATCCGTTTGGAAGGCAACTTCTGTCTCTCCACCGAGAGACAAGCAACACCACTTATAGGACTTGTAGCCCACGTTCTGCACTTGTTGAGCCCTTTCGATACAGCTCAAAACGGTGACAAAAGGCATGCATTCGAGAAGCACAGCAAAGAGAGTTTTGCATTTACCTTAGAGGGTCTGTCGGATCGTAAACTTTGATGCGCACACTTTCAAGCTGCAACAACATAAAATACAACTGACGTTGTCTGCCATGAGGAGGTGTGCAAAGCGTGAAATTAGTGCGAAAGTCGCGGTGTGGAGATCAAAGCTGAAGACTTACGGTACTGTTGCGGGTCTCTTGATGTTCTGAAGTAAAGGTTCACATGTAGACGCTCAGACTATTTCCTTCTGCTGTTCCCTACAGTGTTGATTGCTTATGCTATTGTCTTCAGTGCTTTGTGCTTTCGCGTGATGGCACAAACTGCGATTCCTCCCACACACCTGCTATCAGCTTTACACCTGCCACAGTGACCTACTGCCACTGAGGCGAGCACCTTGCAGGTGAAGCTCGAGCATGGAACGGAGCGATT